GCCACATGTCCTCTTAAATCTCTACCCGGAAAAGCCCGAAGAGGGCTGACCACCCCTCGGAGCCTGGTTCCTCTTTAGGTTTCTTCCAACTGTATGTTCCTGCCAACTAGGGAGTTTTTCCTGGCCACTGTGCTTCTGCTTCTATATTGCTTGCTCTATGATGTTTTAAGCTGGGTATCTGTAAAGCACTTTGTAACTGACAACGGCTGATGTAAAGGGGCTTTATAACATTTATTTGATAATGGTCTGGCTGTGAATCGTAAATCAAACAAAAATGTAGTCAGAATTCACACTGATCACCATTAAGTGACATTTTGAGTAATATTCCCATTTGCTCTGCCTTGACAGGCTGTCACTGTAGTTACTGTTTTGTAATGTGTTACAGTTTGAAATAGGCCGACATTGAGCACATCTAGCCTTATGGATAGCCAAGGTACACAAACAGCTTTAAAATATAGTAAAACTGCTTCTGAAGCAGAATGGTCCACTAATTCTGTAGAAATGCTTAATGTTGACTAAATGAAATGACCGAACAGAAGAGTCAGGTCTTGAACAAGAGAGAAAAAATGATATCACTTTTAGGCGAAGGACACCAGCTTTTAATAAGGAAGAAGGTGACAAGGACTTAAGTATTGCGTTTAACATTCTTTTTCAAGCTTCGTCCACTGCCAAAAGCCTGCCTTTGTTATTGGCAGTTGACATCGGCAGCTGTAGAGAAGAGCTGACTAATCATCAACTAAATGTAAAAAATCTATGAAAAACACCTTTTTCACTGTTAGACTGTTTACAACAAAAGTGCTCTCATTTTACATGTCCTATTTACACCAACTGTATTCTTTTGTTGTTGCTATCGTGATTGGTTAAGACAGTGTTACCCCTCTCCAGCCTACTTGAACCATGTTCCCTCTGGTCTGAGGAAGTAGGGCGTCAACTTAACCTCTTCTTGATGGAATGCAAAATGTACAAGTTGCAACATCTTTATGAAAATCAAAGTTTATTGGTGGCGTACAGAGTTTTGCAGATGTTATCGCAGGTGCAGCAAAATGATTATGTTTCTAGCTCCAACAACGCATCAATACAATAACAATACACACATAATCCAAAAGAAAGAACAAGACATGAAGACAAGTCAGAACGAGCAATGTCAGAGTCCAGAATATAAATACATGTGAATGGTGAGTATGGACAGTATATTCATTGAAAAGGTGTGTACAGCAGTAGTTATATAGGATGAGCTTTGACTAAAATACAGTATATACATATAAAGTGGGTAAAACAGTATGTCAACATTATTAAAGTGACCAGTGTTCAATGACTATGTACATAGGGCAGCAGTCTCTAAGGTGCAGGGTAGAGTACCGGGTGGTAGCTGGCTAGTAACAGTGACTAAGGTTCAGACCAGGGTACTGTGCGTAGGCCGGCTAGTGGTGACTGTTTAACAGTCTGATGACCTGGAAATCGACTAATAAACAGGTTCTATCCGTCCCAGATTTGATGCACCTGTACTGTCTCGGGTGGCTGAGGTCCTTGATGATCTAATTAGCCTTCCTGTGACACCGGGTCCTGTAGATGTCCTGGAGGGCAGACAGTGTGCCCCAGACGATGCGTTGGGCTGACTGCACCACCCTCTGGCGAGCCCTGCGGTTGCGGGTGGTGCAGTTGCCGTACCAGGCGGTGATACAGCCCGACAGAATCGTCTCAATGGTGCGACTGTAGACGTTCGTGAGGGTCTTGGGAGGGCAAGCTGAATTTATTCAGCCTTCTGATGTTGAAGAGGCGCTGTTGTGCTTTCACCACGCTGTCTGTGTGAAGGGACCATTTCAGGTCCTCAGTGAAATGCACGCCGATGAACTTAAAGTTTTTAACTCTCTCTGCTGTCTCCTGTAGTCCACAATCAGCTCCTTCGTTTGGTATTTAGTATTTTATTAGCATCCCCATTGGCTGTTGTGAAAGCAGCAGCTACTCTTCCTGAGATCCACACAAAACATGAAACATTACATAATACAGAACATTAATAGACAAGAACAGCTCAAGGACAGAACTACATGAATGAAAAAATGGCACACACAGCCTACAAATCAATACATACACACAAAATATCCAGGTCAAATAGGGGAGAGGCGTTGTGCCGTGAGGTGTTGCTTTATCTGTTTTTTGAAACCAGGTTTGCTGTTCATTTGAGCAATATGGGATGGAAGGGAGTTCCATGCAATAATGGCTCTATATAAAACTGTACGCTTAGTTGACGTTGAGGGAGAGGTTACTTTCGTGGCACCACTCCGCCAGGCCTCTCACCTCCTCCCTGTAGGATGTCTCGTCGTTGTTGTTAATCAGGCCTACCACTGTTGTGTCATCAGTAAACTTGATGATTGAGTTGGAGACGTGCATGGCCACGCAGTCATGGGTGAACAGAGAGGACAGGAGTGGGCTGAGCACGCACTCCTGTGGGGCCCCCGTGTTGAGGACCAGTGTGGCGGAGGTGTTGTTGTCTACCTTCAGCACCTGCGGTCGGCCCGTCGGGAAGTCTAGAATCCAGTTGCACAGGGAGGAGTTCAGAGCCCTGAGCTTAGTGATGAGCTTGGAGGGCACTATGGTGTTGAAAGCTGAGCTGTAGTTGATGAACAGCATTCTTACATAGGTATTCCTCTTTTCAAGGTGGGAAAGGGCAGTGTGCAGTGGAATGGTGATTGCGTCGTCCATTGATCTGTTGGGGCGGTATGCAAATTGTAGTTGGTCTAGGGTGTCGGGTTAGGTGGTGGTGATATTGTCCTTAACTAGCCTCTGGAAGCACTTCATGATGACAGAAGTGAGTGCAATGGGGCGATAGTCATTTAGTTACCTTTTGCATTCTTGGGTACAGGAACAATGGTGGACATCTTGAAGCAAGTGGGGACAACATGCTCTGATGAGGCGGCTTGGGATGCCGTCTTTTTTAAATTGGCCCATCCACCACCCCCCTCGTCGGAGGACAAAAATACACTTTGTTTTTACAGCTTTTTCTTTTTCTTGAATGTCTTACTCAAGTCTGCCACAGGGATTTTATTTATTTAACCTTTATTTTATCATGGTCATACTTAGACCAAGGTCTCTCTTCCACATGAGCCCTGAATTACAGAAATTACTGAAAATACACGCATCAAAATATATATATAAATACAAAATGCAAGCGGAAAGAAACAGTCATAAAAAAACGAACACATTCATCAGTAATAAGGTCCTCCATCAGCTTTCTGAATTGCCCTAGAGGCATCAAAACATCAAATGTAAGAATATTTTGAAGATTGTTCCACAAATAAGAACTATTGATAGTAAGGTCAGGAGCACACAGTCCTCGTCGGTGGCTCTGTGTTTTCCTCGAAACGGGCGAAGAAGGTGTTTAGCTTGTCCGGGAGCGAGGCGACAGTTTCCTGCGACTGGCTTTCCCTTTATAATCTGGAGTCCCTGACACATACGTCTTCTGTCTGAGCCGTTGGATTGTGACTGCACTTTGCCCTTTCACCTCTTTGAATGCCTTACAGAGGTCATAGCTGGTCTGTTTGTACACGTCCATATTCCCAGTCACCTTGCACTTTCAGTTTTGTGCAAATGCTGCCATCTAGCCACGGTTTTTGGTTTGGATAAGTTCTAATCGTCACAGTGAGAACAACATCCTCTATGCACATCCTGATGAACCCATTCATCTTTATTGACACAGACAGGGTTGAAGAGCTGACAGCCTTTCTTAGTGGAGGTCTGAGATTAGTGTCAGTCAATAATGTTAGTTACATTTACATTTTAGTCATTTAACAGATGCTCTTATCCAGAGCGATTTACAGGAGCAATTAGGGTTAAGTGCCTTGCTCAAGGGCACATCGACAGATGTTTCACCTAGTCGGCTCGGGGATTAGAACCAGCGACCTTTCGGTTACTGGCACAATGCTCTTAACCACTAAGCTACCTGCCGCCAGTTATTTGTATAGCACATTAAACCCATGCATTTGTCAGAAAGGGCTTGACAGCATTTCCGGGCCTAAACTGCCACAAGCGAAGGTGCTAGTGCCAAGGTAGAACAGGTTTTTGGATACTTGGGTTTCAAGTCAAATACCACAGCCTCAATTCAAACATAATGAGACTAAATCTGACATGCTGCCCAAACAGGAATGTTTACAACGCCAATCAGTTCCAAGACGCTGAATAAGATGTTCCCTGTTGTTCCAGTGGGCCTTTAAACACTTCTGACAGGATGGAGAAGAAAGACATGAAGATCGTCAACCAGGGCCTGGAGGACGAGATGGTGAGTGACTGAAGAAACACCATACATGCCTCTCCAAAGACCATAACTCCATCAAGAGCCAATATCCTACCCCCTAGGCCCCAGCTGGAGTCTTTATGTAGATCGGAGATGACTGGATACTAGGTGGAAGCAGATATAGTGAAAGGCCATCTAGCCTTAGCCTTGTATATACCATACTGATTATCGCTAGTAATCCTTCTACCCCCCCTTTACTACCACTGTCTTTTGTCTAAACTAACACCTGACTTATTTCACCTGCTAGCACTGACTTGTTTAAAGAAATGAACTTATTGTGATCGAGATGTAGTCGTCCCTGATTGCACTGAATTTGCTCACAGCTGCTTGTTTGAAGAAGTGTACTTACTGTGATCAAGATGTGGTTGTCCCACTGGCTATCTATCCTAAGTTGAATGCACCAATTTGTAAGTCGCTCTGGATAAGAGCGTCTGCTAAATGACTTAAATGTAAATGTTATCAGGTGGCGTGAGATAGCTAGCTAATATTGATCTAATACTTCCTTAAGAAGCGCCTGGGGCAGGGGCTAGAGTAGCTGAGCTTCTGTCTGAGAGGTGTATGAAAATGTATGCACTAACTAACTGTAAGTCGCTCTGGATAAGAGCGTCTGCTAAATGACTAAAATGTAAAAAAAAAAAAAAAAAAAAAAAATGTGTTACAGCCAATATTCCTCTCTGACCCAACGTGTGCCACCATCGCATTGTGTCTATAGGAGGTGTGGGGTTACCGGCCGTGCCCCTGGAAGATAGTTCTGGTGGGCGTTGGGGCGGTGTGCACCGGGGGGCTGCTGTTCCTGGTGCTCTACTGGCTGCCTGAGTGGGGAGTGAGAGGGACCTGCACACGGACCCCCTTCATCAGGGAGGCCCAGACACTGCTGCTCAGATCCACCGTACACTCATCTAATCTTACTCACTAAAGATAACCTTTTCAATGATACATCTATTCTATGCTGTGATGTTCTATTAAACCTTCTACGACCTAAGTAACAGTAAAGATAACATTGACTTGAGACTACATTACAAATTGTAATTAAGCAATAAGGCCCGAGGGGGTGTGGTATATGGCCAATATACCACGGCTAAGGACTGTTCTTAGTCATGACTTAACGCAGAGTGCCTGGATACAGCCCTTAGCTGTGGTATATCGGCCATATACCACAAACCCCCGAGATGCCTTATTGATGTTATAAACTGGGTACCAATGTAATTAGAGCAGTAAAAATAAATGTTTTGCCATACCCTGTCTGCCAATCAGCAATCAGGGCTCGAATCACCCAGTTTATAATTTACAATAACCAATTCTCTACTGAAGAGTCAGTCTGCTTAATCACTAATGTCACTAGTGTCTGACATAATCAAATGGATAGTAGTCACCTCCTCCCCAAGCTCGGAAGTCTATGTGCTGTGCGCAATTAACCTGTGGACAATGTTAAGTGGAGGTTAACTGGATGACTTGACATTGGTTCAATTCTCACAGGACGAGTTTAGGAGGTGGTTCCGGGCCAAGGTACATGTGATGCTAGTCCCTGGAAAGAGACCCTTTGACAGTGTCGATCTCCAGGGCCCTCTGCACATACCTAATGGGGACAGTATACACGCCTTCAGTGCCCTCCAAGATGAACATCAGGGAAAATACGTCCATATCCAGCCAGTTCAGGTAAGGCAATGGCCTCTGTTCTTCATCTTCTGATCTTCATTAACAAGCAGTGTCCCAATCGTCTTGAATGGTTCCCTCCCTTCATGTCCTTTCCTTCAAGACAACTGATGGGGCGAAAGTTACAGGTCAGTGTTCCTGGAGGAAAGGACATGAGGGAAGGAAGTTATCCAAGATTATTGAGACTCACGAAGAGATGGACACAGATCCAAAGCCCTCTCAGTTGATTTCGGAACATTGCTTGCTGTTCTGACCACATCTCTCTTTCTATCAGATTCTCTACTTCACCCACCACAGCACAAAATACTACTGGAATGATCTGCTACAGAATTTTGAAGTGTTTAAGTAAGAGCCTTATTGCAAAATCACATTTTGGAAGACTTCAGTAACCCCTATAAATGCGTAATTGTCCAGCTACTTTTAAAACATGGACATTCTCTATCGTCCTTATATGAAAGGTGGTAAGTAGACAGTATTACCATGGAGGTGACTGTGTGTGCTGCTATTCTAGAGGTTTGGAGGATGTCAGGGTGACTTGTTCCGGCATCCACACTGACCACAGCTCTGGTCTCAGCAAACTACTCCAGGACTACAGGTAGCCTACGTTACCCACAACCCTCTACTCCCATACACAGTACATTAGAGGAGGCCGGTGGGAGGAGCTATAGGGAGGACGGGCTCATTGTAATGGCTGGAATGGTCATGAATGGAACGGAGTCCAACGTGGTTTCCATATGTTTGATGTTTGATACCTTTCCATTTATTCCATTCCAGCCATTACAATGAGCCCCTTCCTCCTATAGCTCCTCCCACCTGCCTCTTCTGCAGTACCTCTACCTTACACATAGGCATAATCATACCTGTTCCTACAAGCACTAGTACACACACACCACCTGTTATTGAATCTCATTTGGCCCAACTGCTCTTTTGAATGATGGAATTTATATCTGAAAGTACAGCTAAGACTGGCTAGTCCGCACAAGCATACAGTGCATATGGTATTTGAACACTTTGCCCCTTGGCGTGTGAGAAAGCTGGCAAAAATGCTAATGGATTCTAATCCGCTTTCAACAGGAGACTGTTCTTTGAGGTGAATGAGATAGCGGTGAGGGTGCCATCTGTGTTCAAGCTACTAATAAAAGAGGTAGGTTACTGGATACATCTTCTCTCTCACAACAACAAAAAAAAGTATGACCTGGAGTTTTTCTTGATCACCTGACCTGGAAAAACCCTGGAGCCCATTTATAGTCTTCAACTAGGCCCCAGAGTTTTTACGGGTCAGGTCACATGGCTAGAAATAACTACTGTCCCTTAGTGCAGTGGTTCCCAACTCCAGTTCTTGAGGACACCCAACAGCACACATTTTTGTTGTAGCCCCGGACAAACACACCTGATTCAACTCATTGAGGGCTTGATGGTTAGTTGACAAGTTGAATTAGGTGTGCTTGTCCGGGGCTACAATAAAAATATGTACTGTTGGGGGTACCCGAGGACCGGAGTTGGGAACCACTGCCTTAGAGTAAACGCTGCTTATTGTCCAATGACTCATCTGATAACAACAATCCCATTATCTAAAATGAAAATGAATAAATTGACAATAAAACAATCAGCAATTTTAACAATTAAAGCTGCATAGGATGAAACTAGCTCAATCATTCCCCCCCCATATTCATTATTTCATCCTCAGGTCCTGAATCCGTTCTACATCTTCCAGCTCTTCAGCGTGATCCTGTGGAGCGCTGAACAGTATTACTACTACGCCGCAGCCATAGTCTTAATGTCTGTCATATCCATAGCAACCTCACTGTACACCGTCAAGAAGGTGGGTGATCGTCCCAGACCAAGCACTTCCTCATGATGTAGTGGTAGTGGCAGCCATGTTGCCTTTCAATCTGAGTTATCGGAGTTAAATGTTACTCGTTCCTTGGCATTGGCAGAATGTTTATTATTGTGGGGGGGCGATAACATTAAATTAAAATCTCCCTACCATCATATAAGAGACGGTTTGAATCCTAAGCAACCTGCCTACACATAGTTTGAAGTACAATACCAACATAGCTACTGTAGTAGGTCAAAGCTGTGTGCTGGAAAACCTTGGTGGAGCATGGGTGGAATAGGCATTGTGGTGCTTATGAATTTCCTATATTTTTTCGGCTTCAGACCGATGCCTATTCAAACATAAAACTGAGTTTTTTGTTTTTAATATATTAAGACGTGTGTACATCTGTGTTGTTTAGCTTATGTTTCTTTTAATGGATTCCCGCTTTCTCTGCTTACAGCAATACATCATGCTGCATGATATGGTGGCGACCCACAGTATTGTACGTGTCTCAGTGTGCAGAGGAAATCTAGGTACATAACAGGCCTGATAAGACTGCCTCTAAAGAGCTGAATGTAGTGAATTCATTATTACTTATCTACTATTGCATTTTATTAGTGACTTCCTCTGTTCCATTTTTTCGGTTACACTTTTGAAGTATGATCATGTGTATTTGATAATGGTTGACAATGTGTACTTGATAATGATTGATAATGGGTATAATTTCATCCTAGATCTGTTATTACATATTATTATTATTATTATTATTATTATCATATATATTTTTTAAACTTGATTGTGAAGAAAAAACTAGTTATCTTATGGACTATGCTGCTGTGTATGTTATGGGCTCGTCATCTGACCAGAGGGGTATACTACAAAGCAGGATCAAGGAGTTAGCCAGCTAACTTGCCAAATATTATGAAATAACTTTTCTATTTATTTAGTTTAGCTTTCTTAATGAACCAGAAAATCAGTAGTTATTTCTGGTTGTTTATCACAGTTTGCTGGCTCCTGCTTTGTAGTATACCCCTCTGGTGTTGTGTTGAACACAGATGTCGAGGAAGCCATGTCCACAGAATTGGTCCCTGGTGATGTCATCGTCATCCCGTCCAATGGAATGATCATGCCCTGTGACGCCGTGCTGGTTCATGGAAACTGCATCGTCAACGAGAGTATGCTAACAGGTGACTATAAATGGTTCTTCCTTTAATTTGAACACTATGGGCCAGTTTCCCGGACCCAGATTAACCCTAGACCTGGACTAAAAAGCATGCTCAATGGGAAAAACTAATTTGCAAGGGCTTTTCGGTTCAGGGCTAGCTTTAACCTGGGTCCAGGAACTCAGGCCCCATATGCCAAAATAAACGCTGCTGTGCTTCCATTGTAGTGTAATCAGGTTATGTGGTCCTCTCCAGGTGAGAGTGTGCCTGTCACCAAGACCAGCCTACCCAGCTCAGGAAAAGATGGGGCTGGCCTCTATAGCATAGAGGAACACAAGAGACACACACTGTTCTGTGGCACTCACATCATTCAGACCCGCTTCTACACTGGGGAACTGGTGAAGGCTGTGGTGGTCAGGACTGGTGAGACCACTTATTGTTTCCAGTCTTCTGTTATGGAGCTGACCTTAATACACCTAATACACCTGTATTACCTATTATAAACTGGGTGGTTCGAGCCCTGAATGCTGATTGGCTGACAGCAGTGGGATATCAGACCGTATACCGCTGGTATGACAAAACATTTGTTTACTGCTCTAATTACGTTGGTAACCAGTTTATAATAGCAATAAGGCACTTTTGGGGTCTGTGGTATATTGGCCATATACCACATCCCCTCGGGCCTTATTGCTTAAGTATAGCATATGTGTATTAGTGCATGGGTCTGAGACTAGGTTAACTGACATTAACAGGGCTATAAAGGTGTTATAGGCCTAGCTCAAAGTGATTGTGTGCATTCCGTTTTAAACTAACCTTCCCTGAATACAATGGTGGAGGGAGACATGGCGAGGATGGGCTCCCAGCTTCCACTGGGATGTGAGATAAATATACTTAATTATAGGGTTAATATGGCACTCTGCAGCTCCTCAATTCAATTCAAATGCTATTTAGGTTATTTCCTTGCAATATTTGTTGTCTGTCAGGTTTCAGCACAGAGAAGGGCCAGCTGGTGCGCTCCATCCTGTACCCCAAGCCCACTGACTTCAAGCTGTACAGAGACGCGTATCTCTTCCTGCTTTGTCTGGTGGGAGTGGCTGGCATCGGCTTCGTCTACACCATCGTCCTCAGCATCATAAACCAGGTACTGCAGTTTGTCTGTTCAGGCATTGAAAAAACGGATTGCATTTGTGTAGTGCTTTTCCCGCTAGTACTCAGTGGGTTAAACTTACCCACTCCACCATTAATGTGTAGCATCCATCCTGTGTCTTTGGTTTAGTATTAAATGGGTGAAAATAGTCCTCTGGCAATGTGTGAATTTACCATTATTTAAACATGCATGGCCCATTCCCAACCACCTCTCTCATTTGGAAGAATAATACTGTCTCACAGTTTAGTCTAGCAATAGTGTTGACGTTTCCCTATGTCTGCAGTCTGTCAATTTCATTTAGTATTTTCCCCTTCCATGTCCAGGTTCCAGCCAAACTTCTTAGAAGGCTCTTCTCTTTGAACAGGTTCCAGCCAAAACCATAGTGGTTGAATCTCTGGACATTATCACCATCACGGTGCCCCCAGCGCTGCCTGCAGCCATGACAGCGGGCATCGTCTATGCCCAGCGCCGGCTGAAACGTGTGGGCATCTTCTGCATCAGCCCCCAGAGGATCAACATCTGTGGCCAGCTCAACCTCGTCTGCTTCGATAAGGTACCCACTATGCCTCGTCTGCTTCGATAAGGTACCCATTATGCCTCATCTGCTTCGACAAGGTACCCACTATGCCACGTAAACACAAACTATCAAACTTCATTCCAAGTATCAGGCTGTTATAATCACTAGCAAAACATTTTGCTCTATCTAGTAGAATGTTTTTGTAAAACTATGAATCTGTGATTTTAAAATAAAGTGTTCAGAATCTCTAGCTAGCACACAGGTACTAAATGCAGACAGTTGTAGAATGAAGCTACATTATATTTCTGTGTAACCGTCCTGCTCCCCACACAGACTGGTACTCTTACTGAAGATGGTTTGGACCTTTGGGGGATCCAGAGAGCTGAAAATGGCAGGTGAGAATGAGAGGGATATGCGGTGTCCATGTTTCTCATCATGGCCTCCATGACTAAGGAGAGATGTGCTCTTCTACCATGTATCAGTTATCTACTGTCTCTGAACCCTCCGTTGTTATGGGGAAGTCAGTGGATGAATACCACAGCTCCTTTGTTTCCCCAGTCCTTTCTCTGTGACCCCTCTAGTCCCCTCGTAAAACCCCACTACATTAAAGGGGCAATCAGCAGTTGAAACGATAACAAAGCCCACCACTGTTTTGGTAAAAAGCTGAGGGATGGGGCTGGAGAAATGTAACCACTCTCAAATTCATAGACAGAGTTATGGATGTAAGGACTGACCATCCATGATATCAACATTATAGTTCTAACCATGTTTTGAGGCTTTACAATGTTTGTTTACATTTACTTTGTTTTATAAACACTGGAGTAAAACAAGCTTATATTTTGGGTTCTTATGAGGTACGACAGTTGAACTAAAGCTCATGAGTATTTATACGTTATATTCTTCAAGAATCAATGGGTACATATTATTAATTTGTAGGGCCAAAAATGGATGTAGCAACTACAGATGTTCCTTTTTAAAGGGATAGTTACACATTTACTTAATGTTGTAGTTACTTTTTTAAAGCTATTCAGTCATAAACCCACAATTTACACATGTTTACTTAGCTGCAGCCCCCTATGGGTGAAAAACACTAAACTGATCTTAGATCAGCTTTTCAATCTATTTATTTCTCCTCAGTTTCTCTCCCCCAGAGGATGACCCAGCCAATGAGACTCTAGTCAGGTCCTCGTTTGTGTCCTGCATGGCCACCTGCCACTCTCTGACCAAGCTAGAGGGAGAACTCTCCGGAGACCCACTGGACCTCAAGATGTTCAACGCCACAGGCTGGGTCAGTGTGTCGCAATGCTGTCTCGAAGTTGTCGCAATGTTTTTGTTCCTGTGTGGATATTGTAACCTACAGTAGTTTATGTTATATACTGAACAAAATTATAAACACAACATGTAATGTGTTGGTCCCATGTTTCATGAGCTGAAATAAAAGATCCCAGAAATTGTACAGATGCACAAAAAGCTTATTTCCTCTCAAATGTTGTGCACAAATTTGTTTACATCCCTGTTAGTGAGCATTTCTCCTTTGCCAAGATAATGCATCCACCTGACAGGTGTGGCATATCAAGAAGCTTATTAAACAGCATGATCATTATACAGGTGCTCCTTGTGATGGGGACAATAAAAGGCCATTCTAAAATGTGCAGGTTTGTCACACAACACAATGCCACAGATGTCTCATGTTTTGAGGGAGCGTGCAATTGGCATGCTGACTGCAGGAATGTCCACCAGAGCTCTTGACAGATAATTAAATGTTCATTGCTCTACCATAAGCCGCCTCCAACGTCGTTTTAGAGAATTTGGCAGTACGTCCAACCTTTTCTCTCAACCGCAGACCACGTGTAACCACGCCAGCCCAGGACCTCCACATCCGGCTTCTTCACCTGCAAGATAGTCTGAGACCAGCCACCCGGACAGCTGATGAAACTGTGGGTTGGCACAACTGAAGAATTTCTGCACAATCTGTCAGAAACCATCTCAGGGAAGCTCGTATGCGTGCTCGTCGTCCTCACCAGGGTCTTGACCTGACTGCAGTTCGGCGTCGTAACCGACTTCAGTGGGCAAATGCTCACCTTCAATTGCCACTGGCACGCTGGAGAAGTGTGCTCTTCATGGATGAATCCCAGTTTCACCTGTACTGGGCAGATGGCAGACAGAGTGTATGGTGTCGTGTGGGCGAGCGGTTTGCTGATGTCAACGTTGTGGACTGAGTGCCCCATGGTGGCGGTGGGGTTATGGTATGGGCAGGTATAAGCTACGGACAACAAACACTATTGCATTTTATCAATGGCGAGATCCTCGGGGCCCATTTGTCGTGCCATTCATCTGCGGCCATTACCTCATGTTTCAGCATGATAATGCATGGCCCCATGTCGCAAGGATCTGTACACAATTCCTGGAAGTGAAAATGTCCCAGTTCTTCCATGGCCTGCATACTCATATGTAACCCATTGAGCACGTGTGGGATGCTCTGGATCGACGTGTACGACAGCGTGTTCCAGTTCCCGCCAATATCCAGCAACTTCGCACAGCCATTGAAGAGGAGTGGGACAACATTCCACAGGCCACAATCAACAGCCTGATCAACTCTATGCGAAGGAGATGTGTCGAGCTGCATGATGCTAATTGTGGTCACACCAGATACTGACTGTTTTTATGATGCAAGCCCCTACCTTTTGACCTGTGACCAACAGATGCATTTCTTTATTCCCAATCAGGGCAATAGGGCCTATTTAATTTATTTCAATTGATGACCGATTTCCTTATATGAACTGTAACTCAGTAAAATCTTCGACATTGTTGCATGTTGCGTTTTATAGTTTTGTTCAGAGTAGTTATGCTAACAATGCTACATGCTAACTCAGTTTCTGTATGAATACTGTAACAATATGTTACACATACTGGTATTATACACAGGAAATGGAAATGTTCCAACTTGTATATGTACTGTTGCTGACTGAAACATGCTCTGAAACCTTCTTTGTATCGTCATGACTACAACACAAAGCATATTGGCAGCAGTGGGATCCTTTCTGTTAGAGCTATGCTAACAGAATAGCTGGAAGATGCTACATGCTAACACAAGCACAAAATCCCTGCCATTGGTGCCAGACTGTTTCTGCGTTCAGCATCGTTGCCTTGGCAAGATAGCAACAAGTTGGCTAAAGAAGACTGGCCCCAGGGTTACCCGTCTAAATCAAACGGGTCACTAATGTTGTTTAAAACCAATGTTTGTGATGTTCAGATTCTAGAGGAGCCCACAGAGGAAGAAACCGCCCTCCACAATCCCATAATGCCCACCGTGGTGCGGCCACCCAAACAGGTGCACCCCGAGGTCAACCAGGAAGTCAATCTAGCACAGAACATGGTACAGTATTCATAGTATGCTCTCTCCTACATCTCTACATCTCAATATCTGGTAGATAAACCTTAACTATAGTTATCTTCAAACCTTATTTTCTTCTTTGCGTTTTTAGGAGCTGTCTGAGCTGACGGTAAGTAGTGTGAGGGCTTTTTCAAATGCATCATTCTTTCCTTCCTTAAATATTCATGTTTTTGTGAATGGATTTGTTTGTGATTGGATTTGTTTGTGAATGGAAAAGTTGAATGGATGAACGGTTTAATGGATATTGTTTGACCATGTGTTGTCGGTCTCTCAGTTGTCCTATGAGATTGGGATCGTCCGTCAGTTCCCTTTCTCGTCGGCTCTACAGAGGATGAGTGTGGTGATCCGGAAGCTGGGGGAGAAGCGCATGGACGCCTACGTCAAGGGGGCACCAGAGGTTATGGCCAGCCTCTGTAGAGAGGACACAAGTCAGTTAGACATTTATTCAATCTTACCAGGGAGCAGTTTTACCAGAACGTGTACTTCTATTCCAGTACCCCACCTGTATGTGCACTGTCAAGACAGGCTTAGGCAATTACATGAACATGTCTGCAGGTTAATAGACTGCAACCCAATGAATTCTTCTTCTTTTCTCTCTAGTACCAGAGAGCTTCACAGAGACCCTGGAGTCTTACACCAGGCAGGGGTTCAGAGTCATAGCCTTGGCCCATCGCCAGCTGGAGGCCAAACTCTCCTGGCATAAGGTCCAGAACCTCAACAGGTAGTAGAATGTGCTGAATAGAATCACAGTAGTGAGAACTGTGGCTTATTTCCTGTTAGAATATTCTAGACATTTGAATGTGTGAATTTGTGAACTTCCCCCTTTCACAAATAGTGTAACCTTTTTAATTAGCGGCATTATTTTTACGTGGGCTAAATTCTTATTTTTTAAATGAATGAATCTGTTTTCTATCCCTGTCAGAGACCTCATAGAGACCAATATGGAGTTCCTTGGGCTCCTAATCATGCAAAACAAGCTGAAGGAAGAGACTGCTGGGGTTTTAAAAGACCTACGACGTGCAAACATTCGCACCGTGATGGTTACAGGTGAATAAGACAATCCAATACACAGTTTTCATCAACAATACAAAATGTTGTCAGTATTCTGGGAGATTGTTTAGGTTTGCTAGTGCCTTTTGTACTGTAGCATTTATCAATCTTACCAATATTCAATACCATTCTCCCACCAGCACTTTACACTGAAGTAACCATCAGTACTGCAAAGCCATATAAACTGATATTATGTCATTTGGTATGACTAAGCTAACTACAACTAGCTGCCACACCTACACTGATAACAATGGAAATGTAAAGCGTCTTACATTTGACATTTTAGTCATTTAACTGGTTATGCATCTTGTTTACCTCCCTCTCTGTAGGTGATAATATGCTAACAGCTATATCAGTAGCCAGAGACTGTGGGATGATAACCCCTCATGAGAGGGTCATCGTAGCAGACGCCACACCTCCCAAAGACATCCAGCCTGCTACGATCAATTGGCACTACACAGAGAACCACGCCACCAGTAAAGACAACCGTGTTGAGGTGAGGGGAAAAACGGAATTAGAAGACATGTAGATTGATATTAAACTATTCTTTAAAGACAGGATATGAGTTTATTAAGCAAGTCTAACTTGGAAACAATATCTTTATATTTAAAAAGGACTTCCTGGATGAATAACGCAGTATGTGTATATTCAGTATATTGCTCGTCCTGTAGCCTAAGTACACAGTTTCTCTTTTCCTCATTGATGTTGTTGCAACTAATGATCCATCATGGCCGTTCATTAACCCCTTTTCTCTATTGTTCCCCAGTCAGTGGAAATGAGCCTTGAGGATGTGGGCCATGTTACTTATGGTGAGCAGCCCATGCAGCAGGAGCAGCGCTACCACTTTGCCATGAGTGGCAGGTCCTTCGCTGTCATCACCGAACACTTCCCTGACCTCGTCCAAAAGGTCAGTGCCAAATTCCATCCCTCTGTTTGGACAATATAGATAAAATGACTGTAGGATGACGGACGTACTAAATTGCTACATTCTAGTGTTCAGTGCCTCCGTTAACTGAGCTGGGTTTGTAAGACCCATGGCTGTGTTTATACAGGCAGCCGAATTCAGATATTTTTCCACTCATGGGTCTTTTGACTAATCAGATCAGCTCTTTTGCCAATAATTGGGCAAAAGATCAGAATTGAGCTGCATGTGTAAACACAGCCTTAGTCACACTGTAATACAGCATTATTTGATGCTAGTGTAATGCTCTGTCTGTCCACTGGGTGATGCTGTAGCTGGCACTGCGTGCCACAATATTCGCCCGCATGGCTCCTGACCAGAAGACTCAGCTGGTAGAGGTCCTACAGAGTGTGGAGTGAGTCTCCTCTTCAGCACTAACCCTACGAGCACAAGACGTTGAAAATAAGTATTTTTGAATGAAAATACATATTTTTGGGATGAAAATACGTCCTTTTGGATGAAAATACATATTTTTGGAAAGACGTTGAAAATACGTATTTTCAACGTCTTGTGCTTACTGGGAAACTACATTATGCAACATTTCTGTTATCCAGTGAAGTAATATGTTGACCACTTGGCGTTAATTACCTCCTATTTTTTTGCTTTCTTTGAAGCTATACTGTAGGGATGTGTGGTGATGGTGCCAATGACTGTGGCGTAAGTATGGGGTTGTCATTTTTCATTTTGTTGTCATTTTTAGGTGTACTACTGTCCTGAAGAGATGTACTGAGTGTGTTTCATCTCATGCTATAACATCATGTTTTACTGCTATTCGTGTGGTCCTTTGTAGCTCAGTTGGTATAGCATGGCGCTTGCAACACCAGGATAGTTGGTTCGATTCCCGGGACCATCCTTATGTAAAATGTATGCACACATGTCTGTAAGTCGCTTTGGGAAAAAGCAGCTGGCATATATTATTGTAAAGAATGCTTGAATGGGGCCACTGTCTGGACCATAGGATCAGCTGTTTACTAACTGTACACAGCTCAAGCAGTATGACATTGGTCAGTAGATTCCATAAGGGGACAGTATTCTCATGACGGCACTATTAGGAACAGACGTCTCTTTCCTGTAATGCCGCCCTCTTATAACTCTGCTATAAAAAGTATTTTTCCAGACAGACTATTACCCTTCACCTGGCCCCCACAGTAATTGAATCCACAACCAATGTTCCAAGCATTTATTTGGAGCACGTTGAGTGACCTCCCCTCCTCCCTCTGCTATCTCCAGGCCCTAAAGAGAGCTCACAGTGGGATTTCTCTGTCAGAGCTGGAGGCCTCGGTCGCCTCCCCCTTCACCTCCTCCACCGCCAACATCTCCTGTGTGCCCAACCTCATTAGGTACTGTAGCATCAATCAGATGTATTTTCTAAAGCCCTATTTACATCAGCAGTTGTCACAAAGTGCTTTACAGATACCCAGCCTAAAACCCCAAAGAGCAAGCAATGCAAAGGCAGAAGCACAGTGGCCAGGAAAAACTAGAGAGGAACCAGCATCCCTTTCATCAACAATGTCAACTGTCTATTTATTTGACAGTCCTTATACAGTTGGTATAAATTACATGGCATAAGTACCAGTCAATTATCTGTCTGTAGAATAAAATGTATCTGTTGAGGTATTTGAAGAGCTGTATCAAAGTAGTCTCATCCAGAGTTGCCAGGCTGAATGATGGCCTGTTGTTTCTCCACAGAGAGGGGCGAGCTGCTCTCATCACCTCCTTCTGTGTGTTCAAGTTCATGGCCCTGTACAGCATCATCCAGTACCTCAGTGTCACGCTCCTCTACTCTGTGAGTGCTGGTCCCAGATCAGTTTAGCTGCTATGATTAACCGACAAAACATGATAACGGCTGGTTTGAGATCAGTTTAGCTGCTATGATCAACTGTCAAACATGATAACGGCTGGTTTGAGATCAGTTTGCTGCTATGATCAACTGACAAATATGGTAAAGGCTGGTTTGAGATCAGTTTTTAAGGGGTTGTGTGTCTCTCTCTGTTCTAGATCCTCAGCAACTTGGGAGACTTCCAGTTCCTCTTCATTGACGTTGCTATCATTCTGATCATTGCCTTCACAAGTGAGTAATAGAAACCTATCTCCAGAATGTTTCAACCAGCATTACTTGAGTTGAGTATCTCAAATCAAATCAAATTGTATTTGCCACATGTGCCGTATACAACAGGTGTAGACCTTACAGTGAAATGCTTACTTACAAGCCCTTAACCAACAATGCAGTTTTAAGAAAATAAAAAAGTGTTAAGTAAAAAATAGATAAGTAATAAAATAAAAAAATACAATAATTAGACATTGATCGTTTATATATGGGGGACTCAGATATTCACATCCTAATTACTGTATCAGTGCTGTATCACTGAAATGAATGACAAAAAATGTATCAACTTTACTGCCAGTTATTGATTTCCTATTGTTGATTATTTATTGTCAGTGAGTCTGAACCCGGCATGGAAGGATCTGGTGGCGCGGCGGCCCCCGTCCAGTCTGATTTCAGGCCCTCTGCTGTTCTCCGTGCTGACCCAGATCCTCACCTGTCTGGCCTTCCAGGTCCTGGCCTTCCTCTGGGTCCGGGGCCAGAACTGGTACGAGAAATGGACGCCCCTCTCGGAGTGAGTACTGCACTGCCTGGGCTGGGGGAAGGAAACTGGGACACCTATTTGGCTATTTATGACCCAGAAAGTTATCTGATGGTCCAAAGGGTAATCTGAACCATATATATGATCCAAAATATTATCTGATTGTCCAACAAAATAATCAGGGAGACCCCTATTGATGGTCTGAAAGAGTTATCTGATTGTCCAAAAAGTGATCTGAGAGACTTACTGTATATGGAAGGTCCAAAAACCCAATCCAGAAGTCCAAGAAAGTTATCTGGGGGTCCAAGAGATTGATCAGGGCTACTCCACCATGCCACCTAGTGGTGTGTCTACACCAAGGAAGTCCATCCCTTAGACGTTTGCTCTGGATGACAGTTAAGATCTTGGCATATCCTGGAAACAATCTGAGGTATAACATCTGGCCCATGTAATTAGGTCCAAGAAAGTTATCTTCATGCTAACCCAAGTTTTTCTTCAACAGTGCCTGTAATATTTCCAGTGCCAATCTCACCCATGGTCCCAACATAACGTCACATGTCGACCACAAGAACATCAGGAACTATGAGAACACTACACTCTTCTACGTCTCCTCCTTCCAGTACCTGGCAGTGGCCATCATCTTCTCCAAGGGAAAACCTTTCAGACAGCCAAGCTATAAAAACTGTAAGCTCCACCTGTGTATTGTCAACTGTGTTTGAATCCACAGCAACAGCAGATTTAAGATGCTAATGTTATTGTTTTACATAGAGCTAACATTTACTATGAAGCTATGGCTTACAGTATACCTCGTCTGATATGTCAATCTGGGCCTGGGGTCAATTACCTTTTAATTCCAGTTAATTCAGAAAGTAAACCAAATTCCATTTTAATTTCCAAATGTTCCTCATTGAAAATCATTGAAGAGAATTGGAATTGGAATTTCAGTGTACTTCCGGAATTGACTGGAATTGAAATGGAATTGACCCCAACCCCGATGTCAATTAAATTGTCCATAATTTGTATGAGCAGTAAAATGACGTAGTTACTGGTAACCTCATTTTGTTCGAACCGATCTCAATAGGGCCGTTCATGCTGTCCTGTGTGGCTCTGTACATCTTCCTCTTCATGATCATGCTGTATCCTGTTCCTGCCATCGACAACTTCCTGGAGGTGAGTGAGACAAAATGGCCGACCCAAAATGGCTGCCGTTGCCTGGCATGATGTGGTGTAGTGTATGCCTTGCAAGTGATGCTTTTGTTTTGAGACTAGCTAACCCCATCATGCTCTTTCCCTGTAGATTGTGTGTGTTCCCCATGAATGGCGCATAACAGTGGTCATCATTGTCCTAGTGAATGCCGCCGTGTCTTTCCTATTGGAGGTACAGTATGTTATAGGGAATTTCATGTGTATTCGCCCTACAATCTGTCTATATAGCCAATTTATTGAAAAATTCCTACAGGATTCAGCTTGTTGAGAATCTTGCATGTAGAAATCTGTGAGTATAAAATGACACTAATCCAATCAATTGACTCAATAATCAAATATAACAATCACATTGAATCAATATTTCTTAATGAAGGTCTGTTTTTTATATTTTTTACTGTTGTTCTGAGTGACATCCTTGTTTTTGCTCATAACCTGATCATCACCCCCTACTATGGACGATCAGTAGCAATTTTGTTTTCACTCCTGCCCAATGAAATCTTCCTTAGACTTTGGTCCTTGACATCATCTTATGGAAGCTGGTGTTCAGTCGAGACAAGCAGGGGGGCAGCGATGGCATGGCCGTCACCTCCGCTACTCACACACCTCAGGTTGGGAATGTTTAGGCTTTGCATCTTTAATTTGTTCTCTTTCACTCTGTAGATCTAGTAGTTATCCCCCCCCCCCACTATGACCCATAGTAGTTATCCCCCCCCACTATGACCCATAGTAGTTATCCCCCCCCCCCACTATGACCCATAGTAGTTATCCCCCCCCACTATGACCCATAGTAGTTATCCCCCCCACTATGACCCAAAGTAGTTATCCCCCCCCCACTATGACCCATAGTAGTTATCCCCCCCCACTATGACCCATAGTAGTTACCCCCCCCCACTATGACCCCATAGTAGTTATCCCCCCCCCACTATGACCCATAGTAGTTATCCCCCCCACTATGACCCATAGTAGTTATCCCCCCCCCACTATGACCCATAGTAGTATCCCCCCCACTATGACCCATAGTAGTTATCCCCCCCACTATGACCCATAGTAGTTATCCCCCTCCACTATGACCCATAGTAGTTATCCCCCCCACTATGACCCATAGTAGTTATCCCCCCCCCCCACTATGACCCATAGTAGTTATCCCCCCACTATGACCCATAGTAGTTATCCCCCCCCCACTATGACCCATAGTAGTTATCCCCCCCACTATGACCCATAGTAGTTATCCCCCCCCACTATGACCCATAGTAGTTATCCCCCCCACTATGACCCATAGTAGTTATCACCCCCCACTATGACCCATAGTAGTTATCCCCCCACTATGACCCATAGTAGTTATCCCCCCCACTATGACCCATAGTAGTTATCCCCCCCCCCCACTATGACCCATAGTAGTTATCCCCCCCACTATGACCCATAGTAGTTATCCCCCCACTATGACCCATAGTAGTTATCCCCCCCACTATGACCCATAGTAGTTATCCCCCCCCACTATGACCCATAGTAGTTATCCCCCCCCCACTATGACCCATAGTAGTTATCCCCCCCCACTAAGACCCATAGTAGTTATCCCCCCACTATGACCCATAGTAGTTATCCCCCCCCACTATGACCCATAGTAGTTATCCCCCCACTATGACCCATAGTAGTTATCCCCCCCCACTATGACCCATAGTAGTTATCCCCCCCCCACTATGACCCATAGTAGTTATCCCCCCCCACTATGACCCATAGTAGTTATCCCCCCCACTATGACCCATAGTAGTTATCCCCCCCCACTATGACCCATAGTAGTTATCCCCCCCACTATGACCCATAGTAGTTATCCCCCCCCACTATGACCCATAGTAGTTATCCCCCCCCACTATGACCCATAGTAGTTATCCCCCCCACTATGACCCATAGTAGTTATCCCCCCCACTATGACCCATATATTATCCCCCCCCACTATGACCCATAGTAGTTATCCCCCCCCACTATGACCCATAGTAGTTATCCCCCCCACTATGACCCATAGTAGTTATCCCCCCCCACTATGACCCATAGTAGTTATCCCCCCCACTATGACCCATAGTAGTTATCCCCCCCCACTATGACCCATAGTAGTTATCCCCCCCACTATGACCCATAGTAGTTATCCCCCCCACTATGACCCATAGTAGTTATCCCCCCCACTATGACCCATAGTAGTTATCCCCCCACTATGACCCATAGTAGTTATCCCCCCCCACTATGACCCATAGTAGTTATCCCCCCCACTATGACCCATAGTAGTTATCCCCCCACTATGACCCATAGTAGTTATCCCCCCACTATGACCCATAGTAGTTATCCCCCCCACTATGACCCATAGTAGTTATCCCCCCCACTATGACCCATAGTAGTTATCCCCCCCCCACTATGACCCATAGTAGTTATCCCCCCCACTATGACCCATAGTAGTTATCCCCCCACTATGACCCATAGTAGTTATCCCCCCACTATGACCCATAGTAGTTATCCCCCCACTATGACCCATAGTAGTTATCCCCCCCACTATGACCCATAGTAGTTATCCCCCCCCACTATGACCCATAATAGTTATCCCCCCCACTAAGACCCATAGTAGTTATCCCCCCACTATGACCCATAGTAGTTATCCCCCCCACTATGACCCATAGTAGTTATCCCCCCCACTATGACCCATAGTATGTATCCCCCCCACTATGACCCATAGTAGTTATCCCCCCCACTATGACCCATAGTAGTTATCCCCCCCACTATGACCCATAGTAGTTATCCCCCCCCCCCACTATGACCCATAGTAGTTATCCCCCCCCACTATGACCCATAGTAGTTTAATCCCCACCCCCCCACTATGACCCATAGTAGTTATCCCCCCCACTATGACCCATAGTATTATCCCCCCCCCACTATGACCCATAGTAGTATCCCCCCCACTATGACCCTAGTAGTTATCCCCCCCACATGACCCATAGTAGTTATCCCCCCCCCCCACTATGACCCATAGTAGTTATCCCCCCCACTATGACCCATAGTAGTTATCCCCCCACTATGACCCATAAAAGTTACCCCCACACTATGACCCATATAGTTATCCCCCCCACTATGACCCATAGTAGTTATCATCCCCCCACTATGACCCATAGTAGTTATCCCCACCCCCCCCCACTATGACCCATAGTTAGTTATCCCCCCCCCCCCACTATGACCCATAGTAGTTATCCCCCCCCCACTATGACCCATAGTAGTTATCCCCCCCCCCCCACTATGACCCATAGTAGTTATCCCCCCCCCCACTATGACCCATAGTAGTTATCCCCCCCCACTATGACCCATAGTAGTTATCCCCCCACTATGACCCATAGTAGTTATCCCCCCACTATGACCCATAGTAGTAATCCCCCCCACTATGACCCATAGTAGTTATCCCCCCCACTATGACCCATAGTAGTTATCCCCCCCCACTATGACCCATAGTAGTTATCCCCCCCACTATGACCCATAGTAGTTATCCCCCCCCCCACTATGACCCATAGTAGTTGTCCCTCCCTTTCCCCCCTCACTATGCATACACAACGTTGATACATTGATCCTGGCTCTTGCTTTTGAGGGGCTTGATATACAGTGCATTTGTTTTGTGCTGAATTTATTTGGTCTTTTTTATGATTGAAGAAGCTGAGAAGTAAGTGAGATTTAAATGACTAAGAACTATAGATGCACCGATATAGAAAGATTCAGTCCTAGAACCATTATTTTCTGGGCTGTGATAGACGATACTGATATTTTTAAAACTGCTTTGCAGAAATGTCTGCAAACCTTCTCTCAGAAACAAGAACTTCATGCAAGCACACCTGGCGTTTCAGTGGCAGATTATTTTAGAAATAAAATATCATCTGAATATCAGCTATGAAAGAGCCGATATTAAATAATATTGTGTGATACCGATATTTATACCGGTATCATGTTTTAAGCAATTATTGTCCAATACAGATATTTAGTCTGATATATCATGCATTATTACTAGGAATAAAAATACTTTCTGCAGCATTTGAAAAGCAACCCACACACCCCCGCAAGGTCGCCGCCCTTCCCCTCTCCACCCTGGAGGTTGCCCCCCCCCCCCCCCCCCCAGAAAGCATATGAATGGGTCATTAGCCATAGCAAAAATTTTGAAAATTACAGAACATTTACTGTAAACAAGCAAAATTCTCTCAGCCTCATTGCAACATGTGTAGAATAGCATGAGATTAGCAACATGTGTAGAATAGCATGAGATTAGCAACATGTGTAGAATAGCATGAGATTAGCAACATGTGTAGAATAGCATGAGATTAGCAACATGTGTAGAATTGTACGCCACTAAAGGCAACTGTGGTCTATGCTGATACTGGGTGATTCTTCACGAAACTAGAACAAGAAAATACCATGATTTGGGGGATTTTCACTAAATGTAATCCATAGAAGGTTCCTTTTGGAGGAAGGATTGTTGACATATATTTGACATTTGTATCTTAAAGCATAATTGAGTAATAATTAGGGGCTACAAAGCCAAAAATTGTGTCATATGAAGCTTTACCATGTAATATGAGTAGTATTTTGATTTCCATAACAATTTATGACTATTACAAAAATATAAACATCAATATTGAAAATAGAAAATATATGGCTAATTGTTCAATATATTGTTGAACATAATATACTCTACGGGCATATCAAAGTTCCAGTGTGGGCTCTGCTAGTGTTGAAGTTATGGCCCATTTTATACAGAGAAATTGGCATAGTAGGCAATGTAACCAATCACAGCCCTCCTTTTACTTGTATCATTGCACATCCTGCAAATCACCAGCAGAGGGTGACCATTTTGAATCCATTTTCACATTCACTCTGTTGGAAATGCTAACAAATTGGATCATAACTCTAAAAGTAGCATAGATCGCACTCTGGAACTTTGATATGCCTTAGAGTTACAGTGGGGGAAAAAAGTATTTAGTCAGCCACCAATTGTGCAAGTTCTCCCACTTAGAAAAACACATCCAGAAAAACACATTGTAGGATTTTTAATGAATTTATTTGCAAATTATGGTGGAAAATAAGTATTTGGTCACCTACAAACAAGCAAGATTTCTGGCTCTCACAGACCTGTAACTTCTTCTTTAAGAGGCTCCTCTGTCCTCCACTCGTTACCTGTATTAATGTCACCTGTTTTAACTTGTTATTGGTATAAAAGACACCTGTCCACAACCTCAAATAGTCACACTACAAACTCCACTATGGCCAAGACCAAAGAGCTGTCAAAGGACACCAGAAACAAAATTGTAGACCTGCACCAGGCTGGGAAGACTGAATCTGCAATAGGTAAGCAGCTTGGTTTGAAGAAATCAACTGTGGGAGCAATTATTAGGAAATGGAAGACATACAAGACCACTGATAATCTCCCTCGATCTGGGGCTCCACGCAAGATCTCACCCCGTGGGGTCAAAATGATCACAAGAACGGTGAGCAAAAATCCCTGAACCACACGGGGGGACCTAGTGAATGACCTGCAGAGAGCTGGGACCAAAGTAACAAAGCCTACCATCAGTAACACACTACGCCGCCAGGGACTCAAATCCTGCAGTGCCAGACGTGTCCCCCTGCTTAAGCCAGTACATGTCCAGGCCCGTCTGAAGTTTGCTAGAGTGCATTTGGATGATCCAGAAGAGGATTGGGAGAATGTCATATGGTCAGATGAAACCAAAATAGAACTTTTTGGTAAAAACTCACCTCGTCGTGTTTGGAGGACAAAGAATGCTGAGTTGCATCCAAAGAACACCATACCTACTGTGAAGCATGGGGGTGGAAACATCATGCTTTGGGGCTGTTTTTCTGCAAAGGGACCAGGACGACTGATCCGTGTAAAGGAAAGAATGAATGGGGCCATGTATCGTGAGATTTTGAGTGAAAACCTCCTTCCATCAGCAAGGGCATTGAAGATGAAACGTGGCTGGGTCTTTCAGCATGACAATGATCCCAAACACAGCGCCCGGGCAACGAAGGAGTGGCTTCGTAAGAAGCATTTCAAGGTCCTGGAGTGGCCTAGCCAGTCTCCAGATCTCAACCCCATAGAAAATCTTTGGAGGGAGTTGAAAGTCCGTGTTGCCCAGCGACAGCCCCAAAACATCACTGCTCTAGAGGAGATCTGCATGGAGGAATGGGCCAAAATACCAGCAACAGTGTGTGAAAACCTTGTGAAGACTTACAGAAAACGTTTGACCTGTGTCATTGCCAACAAAGGGTATATAACAAAGTATTGAGAAACTTTAGTTATTGACCAAATACTTATTTTCCACCATCATTTGCAAATAAATTCATAAAAAATCCTACAATGTGATTTTCTGGATTTTTTTTTCTCATTTTGTCTGTCATAGTTGACGTGTACCTATGATGAAAATTACAGGCCTCTCTCATCTTTTTAAGTGGGAGAACATGCACAATTGGTGGCTGACTAAATACTTTTTTTCCCCACTGTATTATGTTCAACAATATATAAAAAAGTTGGTCAAATCAAAAAGGTTATATTTTTAAATATTCATGAATGTAATAAATTGTTATTAAAAACAAAATACTACTAATATTACGGAGCAAGTGGTAACTTCATATGACACCAATTTTTTGCTTTGTAGCCCCTACAGATGAAACATTATGGAGTCTTAAAGGAGGCCTGGGTAATGCCAAAATGTCACATATTCCTTCAATGAATGATTTCTCAATTATGCTTTAAGATACAAATACCAAATAGACAGTGGGGTCTGAAAATATTGACACCATTGATAAGATGAGCAATAATCACTGTATAAAATAAATAATTAAAACCTCTCACCATTACCAATAACAGGGGAGGTTAGCATGTCTTGGGAGTATGATCTTTGACCCGCTGTAACTTTCTCACTGATAATTATTCATGATTTATTCCGATTTATCTGTAATCATGGTAGCATCCACATTAATGTAGAGGTGTTTAGAAACATATTCTTGTATTGTGTCATTTTGACTCCAAAATGACGCCAAACATTTCTATTGGCCACAAAATAATCTGAAACACAACCAAAACAAACTGCAAATGCATCCAACAAGTTTGTAGAATCACAAGCTTGATGTAGTTAGGGTGAACGCACCAATTTGTGAGTCGCTCTGGCTAAGAGCGTCTGCTAAATGACGTTAATGTGCCCTTGAGCAAGGCACTTAACCCTAATTGCTCCTGTAAGTTGCTCTGGTTAAGAGCGTCTGCTAAATGACTAAAATGTAAATGTAAATGTAGTCATTGCGTGCTAGGAATATGGGACCAAATACTTAACTTTTGACTACTTTATTTATAAGAATCTTTAGGGGTGTCAATAATTTTGACCCCTGCCTTTTTGAAAAAATAATATTACTAGTAAAAAAAAAAAAAAAATTGTATAAAATAATATAATTTCCCAATGTTTTGGAACATCCATATAGCTCAGTATTTGAATTATTTATACAGTCATTATTGCTAATCTTTATCAAGGGGGTCAATAATTTCGGACCCCACTGTGTCAAATCCTTCCTCCAAAGCACCTTTCTATGTAGTCAATTTCGTGAAAATCCCCCTATTTTTTTGTTCTAGTTTCGAGAGGAATCACCCTACAGTTGTCTATGCTGTTTTCTTGTTTGATTTGTGTATGTACTATTTCTAGTCTGCCAATGAGCGTTGGTGCGCAACGTTCCTCTCCTGGCTGTTCTGTCGGAAGGGGAAGACCTCCAGAGTGCGCTACATGCAAGTCGCCCAGGAGCTGCAGGAGGACCCCGACTGGCCCCCCAAACCCGCTACCGTCACCTATACCACCAGCACCCCCCACCACACTGTCAGCATGTGACACATGGCCATGCCCACATATAGTCAATAGCTGCACATACAGTACCCAGTCTAGACCCTTCCATTCCCTGGACCACTGACTGGTTTACAACCAACATCAAGTCTAGAACCCTCCGTTCCCCAGACAACTGACTGGTTTATAACCAATATAAAGTCTAGAACCTTCCATTCCCCAGACAACTGACTGGTTTATAACCAGTATCAAGTCTAGAACCTTCCGTTGCCTGGACAACTGACTGGTTTATAATAGGGCTATGACGATACCAGTATCGCAATATTTTTCCATGGCAAAAATGAAACACGAAGCAGACCAAACTCTTTGGTCCTTTAACAACCTGCTGTATGTAAAATAGTGTGTGCAATAGTTGGGTTGGTTGTTTAGCAACACAACCGACGCGTGTGCAACAATGGGGAAAAACCAACGGGGTTGGCTTAGATTGTTGAAAACATGTCAACTATATTTATTTTCCAAATGTTTATTGAAAACATAAATACATTTGCACAATGAGCACTTGTTGTCTCAAATACATCGTAACAGTTGTTGGTTAGCTAGCTAGCAAATGTTTTGCCATATTAGTATTGACATGAAATCAGTCAGAACACCTCAAAACAAGACATGATATCAAGAAGAAGATGAAACTAGCTGAATCGAGTCACTTACGATTCCCCACATGGCAGTTTCTTGTCATTGTTGGTAGTTATCTGGCCATCCAGAATCACAACAACTCACAGACTTCTGCCCTATTTGAAGAGTTCACATCGTTTTTGTGACATTGACAGCTAACCCATCTATAGCTTGGAAAATAAATAAATGTGACTCCAACATAAGGGCTGTTTTCCTAAAGAAGTTAAATCCGCTTCGTGTTTTGTTTCCTTTCCAAGATAATAACAAGTATCGCAATACTGGTATCGTCCCGGCCCTAGTTTATAAACAATATCAAGTCTAGAACCTTCCATTGCCTGGATAACTAGCCCCACATCCAGGACTAAACAAAAATAGTAATGTGATGCCTGTTTTGAGTACTACGTATGAACCAAGGCCAGAGCTCGCAATCAGCCTGTGATCCTATCAACTTCTTGACCGTAACTAGACCATAACTGTCCTTACCCATACACACCAAAGCACACAAAGAACCCCAGCAATGTGACTACTGACAAGTGCCCAGTATGTGGCAGCCGATCACCCTCTTTCTGCTATTAGTTGAGCCATGGTGAAGAGGCCCAGAGATTATGCCTTTCCAGTTGAGGGCTTGCCTTGCACTCACCACCAGTTGATTTCTTCAGCTTCACAAAGACTAAGAACTATGGAATCGTCCACTAACACTTTCTCACCTGCCTTGATTGCTGCTCCAACGACATGTCAAGAGTGAAAGAGAATGTGTGTGAACAGGACCTTACTGAGGGAAATTGAGGGATTTTATTTTATTTCTAAATCAACACACTCAGATGATGCATTTGAAAGCACTGTGTGTGTTTTAAGCGTGAGTGGTACTACTGTATTTGCCAAGATTGAATAACATTCCAATGCATCAATAATATATTGCTGTGTTTCTCTGAGAATTTGCTACGCTTTATGAATGTAATTCTTCCTGTGGAAGTATGTGAGTGTCCGTGACCCTTGAAAAAAAACCTGAACACTTGAGTTCATCTGGTGCCTGTGTGTTTGTGCGTGTGCAGGGTTTTTTCTGCATAGAAAAGTCTTGGGCGGGACTTAATAAAAAATCATTAATTTGGGAAAACATTTTCAGTGTAAACTTAAATGACTTAAACCAGATATTTAAAAAAAAATATGATCATCTTTGAGAACAATCACCCAAATAAAATCTAGCCTGTTAGGACTCCCATTGATTGTCATGGCATGGGGCCCCCATTGATTTTATTATGTTTGAGTCACTCTGATAGCATAAGAACACTGCATAAGCCATGGCAAAATGTGTAGATTTGCTGAAAATTAGCCTTGAAAATGATTTCTCTCTCGCCTCATGGTAAATGTGTAGAATTGCAGGACAAGAGGGCCTCTAAAATGTTCAGTCGGCAACCGCGCCATTGATCACGCCCCCGCCACGCCCACCACCTAACCCCAATTTTGATCCAGAAAAAAAACCTGGTGCGTCTGTGCACGTACACTCCCCTACATATTTATTTGGACGCTGAAGCTAAAACGTTTAATTCAGCTCTATACTCTAGCATTTTGGATTTGAGATCAAATGTTTCATAAGAGGCGACAGTACAGAATGTCACCTTTTATTTGAGGGTATTGTCATACATATGTTTTACCATATAGAATTTAAAGCACTATGAATCTAGTCCCCCCATTTTGAAGGCATCAAACACTTGAAACCTTAAAATAGGTGGACTAAATACATGTAGTGCTTTCATCTCTAAACGATAAAACGGATATGTATGAGAATACCCTCAAATAAAAGGTGACATTCTGTACCGTCTCCTCATATGAAACATTTGATCTCTGTAGGATAGCGGACCTAGAGTATCCAAGTGAGGTGATGTGTGGGAATGAGGAGGACCCATTGTTGTAGAAAAATAGTACTTCATTTATTGTAGATGCAAAATTTCAGCAACCATGACGTGGCTTGAAAAACAGTTGTCCATAGCAGCAACATTCAGGATTAAAAAAACTCACAAAAATGACATGACGGTGAGCCTAAAGTGCAGCCGCTCAATAGGGTTCCTAACAGCATAACTAGGGATTACCCCTTTTCCAGAGCTAAACAGGCCTAACTCTCCCCCTTACTAAGACTAAGGCGCATCAATCAGGACAGCTAAATTCAGCTGAATGTACATACAGGCTGCACCAAACAAACTGCTATGGAACCAGCGTTCACCCCTGAGCTGAGCGAAAAGGCCAGCATTTATACCTTAGCACCTAAACTCCGCCCATCAATGAACCAATGAGAATGTACATTTAATTAGATTAACTTTACTTTGTTAATTAGACCAGGCAATACTATGGAACACTTGATTTAAGTTAATTGCATTCATTAGTTTAAATTGTGATATTTAGTCAAGTACGCTTAAGTTTAAAATACTAAGGTTTACACAGCCAGCCCAATTCTGATCTTTTTTTTCACTCATTTGTCTTTTGACCAATCAGATCTGCTCTGAAAAAGATTTGATGTGATTGGTCAAAAGACCAATGAGTGGAAAAAAATGAGAATTTGACTGGCTATGTAAATGCAGCCATAGAGCTGCATCAAATGGAACATGATTCGCTCTGGATAAGAGCGTCTGCTAAATGACTAAAATGTAAATGTAATGATTAAAGCTACTGCTTAGAGGCAGCGTTTACACAGCCAGCCCAATTCTGATATTCTTTCAACTAATTAGTCTTTTGACCAATCACATCAGTTCCTTTTACATCAGATCTTTTTCAGAGCTGATCTGAAAAAAAGGTTTCGAATTGGGCTGCCTGTGTAAACGCAGCCAGAGAGACTGAAAGTATGGGTGAGCTGCGCTGTAATTACCTAACTCACCGCACCTGGCTTCAACCTGAGCAATCAACTTGGTAGCAAACAATTAAGGTCAGGCACACCTAAAATGGTGGCTAGCTATACATGGCAATGGGCTAGTGCACTTTATCCAAATCACACATTATATACTTGTGACCATTTGAGATTATTATAATATTGGAAGATATATACATTTTAAAATGTTGATGGGGCCAGGCTAAGGCTGCATCATCCCAATACGTAGGGGAGTGTATGTGTGTGTGTGCGGGAGAAAGGCTGCGTTTACACAGGCAGCCCAATTCTGATCTAATTGGGGAAAAGATCTGATCTGTTTGGTCAAAAATATCGGAATTGGGCTGCCTGTGTAAACACAGCCTAAGTTTGTGTGTGTGTGCGAGAAAATCCAGCATCATTCCTCGTCCCTTATATAAAACCGCAAAACAATGTGAACAAATGATTGAATTATGCAATGTTTGAAATGTACTTATCATTTTGTCATTCATGTTAATCACTGTCTAAAAACTGTATTGATCAATGAACTAAGTTATATTTTATGATTCCTTGATGTCATGCCATACCTTTTGTAACATTTATAAACCATTGCACCTGACCTAAATGCTGCTTTTATCAAAGGGAATTGTTTTGAAAATATATCACATTTTGATTGTATTTTATATTCTCTGAGATTAACAGCTAATTTTAATATCTGTATATTCAATTTGTACAGTACATTGTTTACAACTGATGTATCCCCTATTTTGTCTAGCATACATCCAGCTTGTTGATATTGACCTAAACATTTGTCAACAATTACTTTGAATAGATCTCTCTGTAAAGGTCTCACCAGAAGTATTAAAGGGATAGTTCAGCGAAATTAGATAGTTAGATATTTGTTTCCTTACCTTTTTTTATGTAATGCCCAAATCATCTGTTAAATGGATTGTATTGCTCAACGACTTGGTTTGAAATTATTTTAAGATGATTTGGGCATCAATAAACGGGGGAGATTGACGTTCATAGATTTTTGGTCCGAAAATGCTAAAATTAGCATTTGTTGGCAGTGGCTAGTTTAACAAAACCAAAGTGTGAATTGCAGTCTCTCTTTGTCCATAGATGACTTTCAAGGTAATCAAACAAATCTAAGTATGTAATTTCACTAAACTATCCCTTAAATGCCTTATGAATTATAACGATTGTTTACTTTTAATTCCTTCCTTTCCATTGTGATACGACTCACAAAACATTTGTGATTTGCTAAAAATGCCTACAATAATATTGATATTTTCCCTTGTTTGCGCTCTGTAGAGAGGATTTCATAAATGCCTTCTTCGATTCTGACGACTTAACTCAACCATTCCATTTTCCAATAAATCTGTATATTAAAACACTCCTGTGGGCTTCATGGGGGGCTGACCCGGGTCACACGTTTTACACTTACTGATCAATTATGAGCTTTCCCAGCCTCCTCGCTGCCTGGCATATGGGTGCTTTAAAGCCCAGAGAGTGTAAGAGGGTATCATTTCATGTGGAGATC